CCAGCATCAGCATCACCAGCAGCCGGCGGCCTCCTCCTTAGCACAATCCGTATCAGCATCATACCCAGCAACAGCGTGATCGCCTTCGTCACCATAGCCACCCGCCATCACCATCGACACACAACTCATCATCTCTACCACCGCCGGTATCACAATCGACATCGTCATCAGCAGAAGCATCCTCATCCTCAGCATCAAAATCATCATGTGCATCAGCATCATCATCATCATCATCATCCTCATCCTCATCAGCATCACTATTATCATAATCATCATGAGCATCATCATACTCCTCATCAACAGCAGCATCATCATCATGATCATCATCACAATGTTGATTGACCCAAAAGGGAGTCCAGCTGAAATGGGGTGGTGCAGTAGGTTCGGGGCAATTGTATTGCAAATGTATTGTGGCGGAGAAATGTATTACAGTGCAGTGCAACAAATGTCTTGCACGCGAAAATCCTGCAATACATCTGTACACCGTAATGTACTCTCGCCTCAAACCTATTGCGACACGACAAAACTATTGCACCAAATAGTTTGGACCACCCCCTTTCAGCTGGACCCCCTTTTGGGACAATCAATATCATCTCCAACAACATCATCATCATAATCATCATCATCAGTATCACCATCGTTATGATCATAGCATCATCATCATCATCATCAGCAGCATCATCACCATCATCACCATCATCACCACCACCAGCACCAGCATCGTCATCATTATCAGCCGCAGCAGCATCCCCATCATCAACACCATCAACATCCTCACTACCGTCATCACCACCACCGCCACCATCAGCAGCAACAGCATCTCAATGCCTATTCTCATCAGCATCGCCATCACCCTCGCTACCGTCCGCGGAGCAGCGGAGGACGCCAATCCTCTTCGGGCGCCCGTCGCCAGAATGCTCGGCGGCACTGCCCTGCGCTCCAGCGGCTCCAAGCAGGAGGACACCATCCACAGCTTGTGGGGAATCGTGCAGGAGAGCCGAAAAGCGAGAAGACAAGTCGGATCGGCGATCGACATGAGATGGATTGGCAGCAAACGGCAGCCAAGGCGGGAGAACTCGAATCGTTGGAAATCGGCAGGCTAGTGAGGCTTCCATTCTGGAGCTGGAACCCACATCGGAATCCGAGGTCGAATCGAATGGAAATCGGGGTAGATCATAATCGAATCGAGTCGAGTCGGAAGAGTCGAAACGAGCCCTCGTCACCTGAAGAGGAGGATGAGGATGAGGAGTCTAGCACGGACCGCGCTCGCACAGGCACCAATGAGATAAGATGCAGTCAACGCGTAGAAAAAGGACGCACGATAAGGATACAACGGCCTTGGAAGGCCATGTCGACACTTTGCGAGCGGGACGCGGCCAGCGAAAGCGGCCACGGATGGGCCGAAGGGGAGGGATGCAAGGATAACGTCGGGGAAAGCCGCTCATCCTTCCTGTGCGGCTCGACTGTAATAAAGGGAAATTAGGACACACAAATAAATACACACAAATAAAAATAGTCCCCATATTTTCCCATATTTTCTGGGTTTTTGTCTTCCCCCCCAATTCCCATATTTCCCAATATTTTCCTGGGAATCGAGGATTAATTGTGTCTGTGTGTTTTTTTTCCCTCCTGACTGTAAGAGAAGAGCCCAGGCAGCCCAGACCAACCAAAAGGCAGAGATGGAACACCCGAGCAGGTCAGCGAGCCCCCGCCGTGGGGCGAGCGGCTTCCCGTGCCCCGGCACTGTGGCCTTCGGCGGGCTCTCCTCCTCCTCCTCCTCCTCCTCCTCCTCCCTCCACCTCCTCCTCCTCCTCCTCCTCCTCCCTCCTCCCTCCTCCTCCTCCTCCTCCTCCTCCTCCTCCTCCTCCTCCTCCTCCTCCTCCTCCTCCTCCCCCCTCCCTCCGAGGGCACTGAAGGCACACGACCCCCCAGGAGCCTCCGTGTCGTGGTCCACGGCATGGAGGCGGTGCTGACCGAGCGTAGAGCCCCGCTCCGCTCGCACAGGAGCCCGCTCTCGCGCGAGCATCATCACAATAGCAAAGGATAACAACAATACGACTAACACATTTAACAATAATAACAATACTATTCATACGGGCAATAACCATGAAAATAACAATGCTACGAATACGAGCACATACGTATACGCATTATAATGAAAAAAAAACCGTGTGAAAGCATAATCAGGACGATGATAATAAGAAGACTAGTCCTCATAATCGTCAGCGTCACCATCATCAGCAGCATGGCCATCGTCATAACAAAAAATCATAACAATGATTCCACACATATAATAATAGAAACAATGAGTGATATCCATCATCATCAGAATCATCATCATCGTCAGCATCAGCATCAGCATCATCATCATCAGCATCATCATTATCAGCAGCATCCTCATCATAATCAACATCCTCATCATCCTAATCAATCATCATCACCATGACCATCATAAACATCACCATCAACATTGTCATCATCATCGTCATCGTCATCGTCATCATCATCAGCAGCAGCATCATCATCGTCATCATCAGTATAGTCATCAGTATCATAAGCATCCCCAACATCATCATCAGCTCCATGATCAGCATCGGCACCAGCATCAGTGTCTCATCACCATCATCATCACATCCAACATCATCAGCATCAACATGACCATCATCACAGTCATCATCGGCATCATCGTCAGCATCATCATTATCAGCAACATCATTGTTATCATCACCATTAGCATCGTCAACATAATCTAAACGTCGTGATCATCAGCGTGTGCCCGTCATTATCAGTAGAAGCAGTAGCATCAGATGCAGCAGCATCACCAACATCAGCATCGGCATCATCATCATTGCCACTATCACCTGTCATCACAATCATCATCAACACCTTCGTCATCACCATCATCATCACCACCATCATCATCGTCATCATCAGCAGCAACATCATCAGCATCATCACCATCATCATCCACACGTCATCATCATCCTCATCCGCATCAACCCTATGCTCATCATGATCATCCGCATCTCCACCATGATCGTCATTCATAATCAGCAGCCGCAGTGCCACTATCGTCATCAGCAGCAACACCATCACTATTACTATTTCTAACACCATCACCATCACCGTCACCGTCACCACCACCACCTCCATCACCAACACCATCACCATCCTAATCATCAGCAGCAGCTGCACCACCATCACCGCCACCTTCATCAGCACCACCATCAGCAGCGTGACCCAGCCCCCTTGGCCGAGCGAGCTGGCCCCGAGACACGAACCGACCGAGCGACCCGCGCCCTCCCCTGCGCGGGGGAGGGCCTGGCCCTGAGCCCCGGGCGCGAGGGGCGAGGGCGGAGGGTGGCGGGAGAAGGGGAAGACGTTCGGAAGGTACAATAAGAGACTGCCGGGAGACGACTCGCAGGGCGGGGGCAGAAGCGCCCCCCTCTCCCAAAAGAGGAAGGCCACAGAGAGGAGGCCGGAGAGGGAGGGAGGCGACCTGCCGCGGGAGAGGGCAGACAGGGGCCGGGGCGAGAAACGACGCCCCCACAAGAAGAGACCTTCTTGCACCGCTGCGGGGGGGCAGGGGGCGCCATCCCACCGTGGGCCAAAAGAAGACAACGAGACGGAAACGACGACGACGACACGACGACGACGACGACGACGACGACGACGACGACGGACGACGACGACCAACAAAAATCAGTTTAAGACTAATCGCTCCTATCTGCTCGCGTCCCATTCAACACGTGTCTCCCAAACCCTCGATACCCGCCCTCTCCTTCCTCGGTCGTACCCCCTCGGGGGGGATATATCTTTCCTGCATGCCACGTGCATCTGGCGCAGCCCCTGGAGCACGAGAGAAATTACACCCTGCGAAATGCTTAAGAAATCATGGGTTAAGAAATTCATAGTCTCAGAACTTGAATAAAAACCCAAAATTTCGATTCAAATCTTAGGACTTACATTGAAACATTAAGAATACTCGAGACTCTGGCCGCAAACGTAAGTTTTCTTAAGCATCGCCTAAGGTGTAGCAGGAGGGAGGCTCGAGGACGGAAACGCGTGGCAGAACCAGACGGGCAGATCGGGCGGGCACGTAGACCCCGGCGGGTATGGGTCGGAAGGCGGGCTCAGAGGCGGCTGGGTCGAGCAGGCGGGTTGCCGAAGCGTGCGGCCTGCATGCATCGCGAGGAAGTCTCGAGAGACAGCGCGATCCCCAAGGAAATCGTGAGGGGATCCACAGCGAGAGCGTGATCCCCGAGCGTCGAGGGCGCAGCGTCTGAACAAATTGCGAGGAAGTCCCACGCGAGAGCCCGATTACTGCATGACTTGTGAGGAAGTCCCGCGGGAGAGCGCCATGCTTCGATAAATTGTGAGGAAGTACCCGGCGGGAGCCGTTGTTGTTGTCACCCGGGGGCCAGGGAAAACAGTCTGACGCTCAGGACTTACCCTGATAAAGAAAAACAGGGTGCGAGCCCCAGGAAGCGCACTTCAATTAAAAAAAAACATGTGCACCGGGCGGAGGGGGGGGATCAATATCACTACAACAACAACAACAACAACAACAACAACGACAACAACAACAACAACAACGACAACGACAACCACAACAACAACAACAACAACAACGACAACGACAACAACAACAAAAACAACAACAACAACAACAACAACAACAACAACAACAACGACAACAACAACAACAACAACGACAACAACAACAACATCCACAACAGCAACAGCAACAGCAACAACAACAACATCATCATCAACAACATCAACAACAACGGCAACAACAGCACCAACACCACCACCAACAACAACAACTACGACGACGACGACAACAAAGGGGCGAGCGAGGACGACGACAAAGAAGACGGCCGCCACAACTGCAAGCCACGACGACGCTGTATGCGCGCGCGGCGGCGGATGCCGGGGGGGCGGGGCTCCTTCCCCTCCAAGTCCGCACCACAGAGGTACTGCATAGCCGCGTCGGCCTTGTGGAGGCGGGCTCCTCCTCCTCCTCCTACTCATCCTCCTTCTCCTCCTCCTCCTCCTCCTCCTCATCGCCATCATTCGCCCTCATCTTCCGTCCCTCTTCCTTTTCCTTCACCTTACTCCCACGCTCCGCCTACCCTTCATGTTTCTCCACACCCTGTCCGGCGCCACTGCAACCATCTGCGTTCTCTTCCGTCACGCCATCCTCATGGCAATCATTGCAATACTCGTGATCATTCTGGCCATTATCGACATCAGCACAATCGTCATTATCAGCATCGCCAAGTGTCACGGTCATCATCATCATCATCATCATCATCATCATCATCATCATCATCATCATCATCATCATCATCATCATCATTCACATCAGTATCATCATCATCATCATCATCAGCAGCAGCAGCAGCATCATCCATATAATCATCATCGTCGTCATCATCATCAGCCTATTCATCATCATCATCATCATCATCAGCATCATCATCCTCTTCCTCCTCCTCCTCCTCATCATCATCGTCATCGTCATCATCGACAGCATCAGTATCACCACCATCATAATCGGCAGCATCAGCATCAGCACCAGTATCATCATCGTACTCGTCATCGTCATCGTCACCATCACAATCACCATGACCATCACTAGCATCATCACAATCACCATCACCATCATCAGAATCGTCAGCAGCAGAAACATCGTCATCATCACCATCATCAGAACCGTCAGCAGCAGAAGCATCGTCATCATCATCATCATCATCTCCATCATCATCATCATCATCATCATCATCATCATCATCATCATCATCATCATCATCAGCATCATCCTCGTCCTTAGCAGCATCATCAGCATCATCATCAGAACGAACATCAGCATCGGCAGCATCATCACCAGCAGCAGCATCATCATCGTCAGCAGCAGCATCATCAGCAGCATCATCAACCTCCTCATCATCTTTGTCATCATACTAACAAAAATAAAACTGCTAACGATGACAATCGGAAGAATCGTATCACCATCACCATGACCATCACTAGCACCATCACTATCATCATAATCGTCGTCGTCAGCAGCAGCATCATCAGCATCATCAGCATCATCGTCATGGCCGTCGTCATCATTGGCATCGACATCGGCATCGACATCATCAGCATCATCACCATCATCATTGTCATCAGCATCAGCATCATCATCAGTATCATCCTCGCCATCGCCGTGTTACGTTTCTATCTTCATGTGCGGCAAGGTCGCCGCCGTCGTCCTTGTCGCCCTCCTGGAGACATGTCCCGTTCCCCCTGCTCCCTGCCCCCCAGGCTCCACACCCTCTGCCTCTCCCCCTCCTGCCCCTCCCAGGCCTCCAGGGCCACCTCAAGCAGCGCATCGCCACTGAGGCCTCCGAACGACGCCCCCGCCGGAAGAGCGCGACGCCCGGAGCCCGGAGCGCGCGTCGACCCACGACGGCAGCCCTCCTCGGGCGCGCCGCCGCCCTCGTTGCTGAGCGTGCCCGCCGACGGGGGCCGCGAGCCCTCCTCCCCCTCCCTGCCCAGAGCAACCCTTCCGCGGCATGAGCACCAGCTGCCCGAGCTCCACGCGGGCTCCCCCGGATCGGCGATGGGGGGGGCCCCCCCCATGCCGGGCGCACGGAGCGCGCCGCCATGGCGCCGCCAGGGGGGGCGCCCGGCGCCCCTCCGCGGGATGCGCGCAGACCTCCGGAAGATCACACGCCCCGTGCAGGCGCTCCTGCTGCGAGCGCCGCTGCGGCCCTGCGCAGCGGCAGCGGCGTGCTGCAGACGCGGCGGCGCAGCGCCCAGCGCCACCCATTCCCCCTGGCTCGCCGGCGCGGCGGCTGCGGCGCCCACCGGGGAGCGGCCGAGCTCACGGAGTGCGAGCTGCCCCGATACGCAGCACGCCACCCGCAGCGTGCCAAGACGGAGCTCAACGGGTAGATTGGAAACGTAGGTCTGGCGCGATGCGTTCGCCAAAACGTGGGCCGAGAAGTGCCGAGCCAGCACGCAGCGTGTTCAACCTGGACGTTTTGGACACTGTACGTGTTGCAAGTCAACACGGGCGTATCAGGGCAACTAGGCCTGGATGGCTAGACGACGGAAGGCGGAATGGGCGGGTGCTTGATGGCCTCTTCTTCTTCCTCTGCAGCCTCGGGCTGCCGCCTGCGGACTCGGCAGAGGCACTGTGGAGAGGAAGCCGTGTCGGGCTCGCCAGGGACACTGTGGAGAGCAAGCCCTGGCCGGCTAGAGGGAGGCTGACCGCATGAACGGAAAAGCGCGCCGCCACTGCAAGCGGGAAAAATGAGCGCGGCGACCCCAGGGATCCTTCCGCGGAGAACCGGGCAATGGCTGGGCGATGACAGGGCACGAGAACGAGTAGTCAACCGTGCTGCCTTGCGCTGTGTTCAGACAGCAGACGGCCTCTCAGGAACCTCTGCAGCTTCCACCAATCTGTCTGGGATGGCCGCGAGATCCCGTCACGGTGCCCTGCTGCAGCGGCGCGGGCAGCACGGCCCACCCCTGGAACGAACGGAGAGGGCGCGAAAGGACGGGAGGGCAGCCGGGGCACCCGAAGGAGGAGGGCACGAGCGGAGGCTGGGACCACGTGGATGTGCAAACGGCACGAGGGCCGGGCTCCCGAGGCCCCTGCAGGGAGCCTTACGAGCTGGCAGGGCTCACGGCGCTGGCTGCACGCACGGCGCTCACGACTGCGGCCAGGTCGGGCCGGTGCCCCGGCACCCTCTCCAGCTCGCTGTGCAGCAGCGAGCCGCCCGGCCCGAGCACCATGCAGCCGCCCCCAATGAGGCCCTCGCCCACGAGGTTCATGGAGGCACCGGACCTCCACCACGAGAGGAAGTTGTCCACGCTCGCCAGGGTGCCGGAGACCGGGCTGCTCACCGCGGCAGCGAGGGCGCCCAGGGCGGAGTTCCACGGCTGTCCTCCCCCGATGGCGCGGAAGAAGTGTAGGTCAGAGTCCAGCAGCACCTCGCCGGGCCAGTACGCGGCGAACTCCTCAACCTCGTGACCGATGTCCTCCTCGGGTTAGGCTTAGGGTAGACCTACGGCCAAGGGGGAAAGCCTAGGAGTAGGCCTAAGGCCTAGAATTAGGTCCGGCATGCCCTCCTAGAGGCGGATTTCGGAAGAATAATAGGATGTAAAAAATGGCCAGACAGTATCGAAAAATCGCTCCGTGGTTTTTTGGGGACTATCTTTGAATTGTCCTCATGCAGAGGACATGCCCGACTTAAGTCTAGCGCCTAGAGGTAGGCCTAGGGGAAATGCCTTCACGAGGCACGCCACCCGCGACGCGCCCGCGCCGCGCAGCTCGGGCAGCTGGGCGGCAGCAGCTTGGGCGAACGCCCGGCAGTAGCCTCAGCCCGGGCGCCGAACCAGGAAGACGACGGCCGGCCCGCCAGCGGTCAGGTCCCTCGCCTGCAGCGTCTGTAGAGGAAGAAAGAGCGCCACAAGCATGCACTTTCGGAGCTCCGCGCGGATCTCCTGGATCGGAGCTGGACCCCTCTCCCTGGCGCGCGGAGCGCGCAAGGTGCGGCGCCGGAGGCGCCGCCAGGGGGCTCCAGCGCCGATCCAAGAATCTGCGCGGACCTCCGAACGGCGCTGCCGCCCTGCGCAGCGCTGTTCGAGGTCCGCGCAGAACGATGTTCCTTCTTCGAACGGCGCTGCCGCCCTGCGCAGCGGCAGCGGCGTTCGATCCTAGGGGCCCCAGCGCCGATACAAGAAATCCGCGCGGAGCTCCGAAAATTCACGCTGGCGGCGCTGTTTCTCCTTCGAGTCGTTTGGCGGCGCGCACAGGGGAATAGGGGGATAGGGGGGAGGCTTCTTTGAATGAGGCTGCTTCTCAGAGGGCGCCGGTCCTACATCTACAGGCAAGGCCCGCGCCTTCTAAGAAGCAGGGGTGCTTCTAAGAAGCCTTCCCCCCTCCCCGGCCCAGACATGCGATGTCCACATTTTTTGCAGCACGAGCCCTGTGGAAGTCTTGACTCCTTCCACAGGGCCGATTTCTCGACATCGGTCGCTTTTGGACGGTCCCGAGGCCCGATAAGGGCCCCTAGAGGCCGAACAATATTCAAATAATAACTAAAAACGGTATACACATAAACTTTCGACGGTCCGCACGGATTTCTTGGATCTGCGCTGGACCCCTCTCCCTGGCGCGCGGAGCGCGCCAGAGGCGGCGCTGGAGGCGCCGCGGGGGGGGGGTCCAGCGCGGATCCAAGAAATCCGCGCAGAGCGACAAAAGCTTATGCTGATGGTGATTTTTCTTGTTCGCATTCAAGACCCGCGTCCCGATGTTTCCCCTCTCCCCCGTGATACGTTCTACCGTGCTCTTCTACGCCATGCCATGCCCTGCTCTACCATGCATCGCGTACCCTCTCGCCATCCGACTGTGCGAACAGAGAGGAGACCTACGCCATGGTAGAGGATGGGAGGGAGGGGTTGAACGTCAGAAATGACGCGAGCGCACCTAGCTTGCCCTGCCCTTAAGTCGGGCCTGTCCCTCTACAGGAGGAATATTCGAAAATCATGCGCTTGCAACAATATGGGGACATTTTGTTAAAAGCATGTTGTCGGATGTTTGAACATTTTGAGGGTATTTTTCATTTTTCGCCCAAAATCGGGACAGGCCTGACCTGCCCCTACCCTGAAGTCGGGCCTGTCCCCCTGCAGGAAGGATTCTGGACGAAAAATGAAAGATAGTAAAAAAAAAAAAAAAAAAAAATCCTCCACAAATGCCCCAACCGAGGCGAAAAAGATGGTCCCCAGACGACTTGCTCTCTACTGTGTCTGACTATCCCCCCCCCCCCCCGCAGAGGGACGGGCCCGACCTGCCCCCTATACTTGGGCGCCCGAGTTATCCGGGGTAACTCGGGTCCGGGGTAACTCGGGTTTGGATTCCCGAAAAACGAACCCGAGTTATCCCTGACCCGAAACCCCTGATGATTCGGGGCTCTGGACGCCTGAGTTATCCGGGGTA